GTAATATTCTGTTGTATGAATGTACCACATTTTGCTCAACCATTCACCTGTCAGTAGACACAGTTGTTCCCATCTTTTAGCTATTGTGAATAATGCTGCTATGAACATTATCAAATATCTGAGACCCTGCCTTCAGTTGGGGTATATACCCATAAATGAATTGTGGGATCATATGGCAATTCTATTTTTAATTTTTTGAGGAATCGTTGTACTGCCTTCTGTAGCAGCTACACCATTTTATTTTATTTTTATTTTTATTTTTTTGAGACAGAGTCTCACTCTGTTGCCCAGGCTAGAGTGCTATGGCATCAGCCTAGCTCAAAGCAACCTCAGACTCCCAGGCTCAAGCGATCCTCCTGCCTCAGCCTCCCAAGTAGCTGGGACTACAGGCATGTGCCCCCATGCCCGGCTCATTTTTTCTATATATATTTTTAGTTGGCCAATTAATTTCTTTCTATTTTTAGTAGAGATGGGGTCTTGCTCTTGCTCTTGCTCAGGCTGGTTTCTAACTCCTGACCTTGAGTGATCCTCCCGCCTCGGCGTCCCAGAGTGCTAGGATTACAGGCGTGAACCACCTGTTTTCTGTTATTTTTTATAGTATACATCTTAATGGGTATGAAGTGGTATCTCACTGTAGTTTCAATTTGCATTTCCCTAAAATTAGTATTTTTTTTAATATACCATGTCTTCAAAATCCAGTGTATGTTCTATAGTTACATCTCGATTTGTACTGGCCACATTTCAAGTGCTGACTAGCTGGCCGCTGTATTGGGAAGTGTGGTTCTGCAGGGAAACGTTGGGGGCAGTGGGTAGGATCTTACGGGATTCGGGCATGTGTCTGGTGTCAGCAAGAACGTTTTGATCGTGTGCGTCGCCTGAGGAGGAGCTGGGCCTGAGGAGGAGCTGGGCCTGAGGAGGAGCTGGGCGTCTGGGAGGCTGTGTGTCCCTTGTCCTTGGCAGGATGGATTCGAGGAGGGGACTGGACTCCAAGGCCTTGGGAGGAGCCTGGTTCACAGTCGCCCCTCTTGAATGGCTGTATAGGGTGGGGGGCGGCCGGCGCCTCAGACCCCATTCATTGCCACTAGCTTTTGCAAAAGCTGTTTTGAACTCTCCATCCACACATGCCCACAGATCTTTTCACCATCGTACACCGGAAAGGCGTCTGGCCAAAGGGTGGGAGGCCGGAGCTTCCTTCCCAGCGCTCTGCCTTGACCCTTCACTGCCCCCTGCGTCCCCCTGGAGCCTGTCTAATCAGATCCAGGCCTGACCTCGCCAGAGGTCCTGGACCAGGAGGAAAGCCCCCCTCCCTTCCCTGAACTGCCACAGACCTGGCTCTCAGGAGACCCCTCCCCTTGGGGTGATTTATGGGGGTGTCCAGGAACCGTTTCCTGCCTGTTTTTGTTCCCTTCCAACCTGCTGGGCTCACTCTCTGCCCCTGGTCTCTCCCCACAGCCTGGTTGTACCTATGGTGGGGGCAGGGAGGGGCTGGAGATTCCTCCCCAGATTGCTTGGGGACAAAGGTGCTTTCTTCTTCCCTTCTCCCCACCACCCCCAGGCAGGCCTTTGTCCTTCCTGTTGCTTTCTCTGGCCCTCACACCTGTAGGGCCTCCCAGTCACTGCCTGTTACCCCCTCCCATCACCTAGCTTGAAGTGAGGGACCCAGAACTGTCCCCACCAGGCCAACAGGTGTCTGCAGGAGTATAAAGTCACAGCAACACCCTGCTGTGCACCAGCCACAGCAGTAGCTCATCTACTCCGTTGTCAACCCCACAGTCGCCTCCAGGGTGACTTGTTCAGAGCTCAGGGTGTTCAGAGATCCAGCCCTCAGCCTGAGAGACTAAAGGGACCCATGTAGCCCCAAGATCCTTTCTACCCTGACTCCCTAAAGGGAAAATGCTGTTACTTGTGAACAAGGAGTGAGTGGAAGATTCCAGGTGACTCCAGCTAAGCCGAGTACGCTGGCCCAGACATTGTGGATCCAGACAAGGGCTTGTTCATGAAGACAGGTCGGGGCTAAAGATCTCGGAAAAGTGCCTCGTCCACCCCCTTCATTTATGGCTGAGAGGATGCGACATGCCCGGGGTCTGACAGCAGTCTCGGGGACACCTAAGGAGTATGCAGGTTTGGGTAAGGGTGTGAGGAAGGAAGGAGCCTTGGATGAGGAGGACCACAGCTTCCTCCCCCATCCCCTTGCCTGGGCCACACCTGCAGCCCGCTGGGCTCCCGGGCTGGAGCTGGAGAACCAACCCGAGGGCTCGTTCCTTTCCCCTCGACCAGTGAGAAGAGTCTGTTCCCACATGCAGTCCACTGTGGGGCCACCTGCCCTTGGAGAATGAGAAACTTGCTGGAGAACTAAGGGTCACCCCAGCAAAGGGCCTAGGCCTCAGTTTCCCCTCTGTGAAATGAAGGGATTGGCTTCAGATTAGTGGTTTTCAAGCAAAGCTGCCCTTCAAGTTAAATGTTTGGCAGAACTGCAACGAAGCAGAGCTCAGAAAGGTACAGCAAGGTGCTGCTCTACTGAAAGGGAAACGTGGGCAGGAACTGGGCCCAGCTGCATCCGAGGGGCCCCAGGGACCCTCAGGTGCGCTGTGTGGAGGCTTCCAGGCTGGCTCCTTACCTGTGCCCCTCCCAGCGACAGCAGCAGCATTCCTGGCTAACATCACATTCAGCTGGGCGGTACTTGTTTGGTTTGGGGAGGAGGAGGAGCTGGACAGTGGAGACCAGACTTCTCTGTGCCCTGCACCTTGGTGAGAAGCCCTTTCCCTTGCATCTTTCCCGGGGCCAGCTCCTCCCTGCTCTGGGTGCCTCCAGGGAGCCCAGAGTGGGGGCTAGAAGCACAAAAGGATTCGGTTCCTTAATGAGGAGGCGTCTGTAGTCAGCAGAGCCATTAGTCCCCGCCCCAGGTCCCTGGGGGGCTGCGAGCTCCTCTCCAGCTGGAGTGAGGAGGGGGCAGGCAGACGGCTGACCCAGGAGCCTGGGCGCCCACTCCACTCACCAGGCCGCTGCATCCAGCTCTGCCCTCCTGGAGATTGAGGCTGGGAGACAGTAGAGGGGCCCCAGTGGCAGCTCAGCCTGCCCTGCAAGCCCCTGGCTGACCTGCAGGCCCTCAGCCAAGCAGCCTTTGGCCTGAGACAGGCAGGCTAACCTCTGGGGACCGTCTCACCAAGCCTGATGGGGGCTCCAGCTGGGACACTTGCCCCCACCTCCCACCCCCAGGGCCCCAAGGTACTGAGTGTCAGGGCCGTACCTGCATGGAGACGTGCGTGATTGATTACCTACACAGTACCAGAACCACATGCCAGCCACAGGAGCTGATGGCTTCAAACCCCATTCCCATCCAGTTGTGGACCCGCAGGCCACATAACGGAGACACAGCCACGCTGCCCAGCAAACGCTGCCCTGCACGCATGTACAAAGAGCTGCACACACCCATCAGCCGCACTCCCAGGAGGCCCTCAAAGAGGAGGAGGCAGGGCGGGGGATTTTTATGCATGTTTATATTTAATGAACCACATGCAAATGAGACGGAGAGCATGCCACAAAGGAGCCGCCCCCAGAGACTCGGAGTGGAAGGGCACAAAGGCTTGGCCTTTTGGGCTGCCCTGGAGGCCAGGTCAGGCCAGTGGCTCGAGGGGGCTTGAGATAGGGCATAGGGGCGGGGGAGGACCGCCTGCCCACACCGGGGAGCCAAGAGAGGAGCCAGGACCAGCTCCAGTGTCCCTGCTGCTGTGGGGGGAGGGCTCCTCCTGGGAGGGGAGCGACTGTCCCAGTTGATGGAGTGCCTGAGAGGAGGGGCTGCCTGCCTGGACAGATGGTGTGCCGCCTTCCCACACTTGAAGCAAAGTGGATTTTAATGAAATCACAGCTCTGGTGCTGAAGCTGGGAACCCGAGTTGGGGGGGGCCCTTCCCCAGGCTCTGCAGGGTGGGGCTTGGGGGTGGGTGGGAATGGGGTGGGCAGGGACACTTAACCAGCCTAAAACTGGGAGGGGGCTGCACCATAGCCCCCTGCACTGGTCTCTGCAGACCAGAGTTCAAGCGGTTAGTTCAGATCCCCAAAAGGTGGGGAGGGGGCCCTGAATATTTATGACACATTGAAATGTAGATTGGTAGGTCTGACAGTCTTCTGAGAGGCTTGTCACCTTGGATGGATACATCACCCTCTTGGGGCGCATGGAGAAACTGCAGAAGATCTGGGGGCGGGGGTGATGAGGAAGGACCAAAAAAGCTACTGGGCCCTGGTGACCAAGGTCTGATGACCGGTGTGCCTCTTGGGCAACATTGGGCTATTTGCTTCCCTTCTCGGGGCCTTAGTTTCCAATTCTGTCAGACGTGAAGCATAATACTCAGGCCTTGCATACCTTAGAGTTTATGAAAATAAATCTGAAAGCAGCAGAAAAATTGGGGAATGGGACTTGGGAGCAGGGCCTTCTCTGGCCCTCATGGGTCAGTTTTAGGGGCACTGAGGCCTCCCAGAGAAGCCCCAAACAGCCCAAGATTTCCCTATTGTAAGTTTGTCATCCAAGAGTTTGCCCAGACCTTTTGTAAAAGGCATCCCAGTCTAGCCTGTACCACCTCTTTTTTTTTTTCAGGGTCTTGCCCTGTTGCCCAGGCTAGAGTGCAGTGGCCTCATCATAGCTTGCTGCAGTCTCCAAATCCTGAGCTCAAAGGATCCTCCTGCCCCAGCTGCCAGAGTAGCTGGGACTACAGGCGTGTGCCACCTCGCCTGGCTAATTTTTAAAATTTTAGAGATAGTAGAGAGGGATCCCCCTCTTGCTCAGGCTGGTTTTGAACTCCTGCCCTCAAGTGATCCTCCAGCCTCAGCCTCCCAGAGTGCTAGTATTACAGGTGTGAGCGGGGGTAGTTGCTGATGCCCTGCAGGAAAACTCTGCCCCGAGGCGGGCAAGGCCCAGGTCTCCACGCCTGAGACCAGCCGCGCCCCAGCCTGCCCTGCCCTCTGCGCCCAGCAGCGTGCCATCGCCACACCCTCTCTTCTCCCCAGCCATGTCGGACTTCCACGTGCACCCCCAGGCCACCGTGGGTGAGGAGGGCGGTGTGGCCCGCTTCCAGTGCCAAATCCACGGGCTTCCCAAACCCCTGATCACGTGGGAGAAGAACAGAGTCCCCATCGACACGGACAACGAGAGGTGAGCCACGTGTGGGAAAGACGGAGGGAGGACAAAGTCACCCTGGCCCTGGAGGACTGCGTGCAGCTCTGGGAGCCGCAGCTGGTGCCCACAGGGGCCTGGGACTGCGCGGTTTAGACTGGGTGTCCACGTGGCTCGCTGGGCCCGGCTCCTAGGCTCAGGGGTGTGTCTGTGGGGCTCCTGTGCGATCATTGTCCAGGCCGGGATCGAGGGTGCGTCCACTTTGAGAGTCCCAGTGCACATCTGTGATGACGACTGTGACGTGGGACAGTGCTTAGGTCCTAGGCTGAGTCTCTGATGCTCATGGCCCATGGTGTCAGCGGCTGTGCTGGTGGTAGGCTGTGTCCCTCCCCTCAACAGGTACACACTGCTGCCCAAGGGGGTCCTGCAGATCACAGGACTTCGGGCTGAGGACAGTGGCATCTTTCACTGTGTGGCCTCGAACATTGCCAGTGTGCGGATCAGCCACGGAGCCAGGCTCACCGTGTCAGGTGAGGGTCCTTTGGCCCTTTCCCCCACCAGCCTCCTAGTTCCTCCTCACCCTCAAACCAGTCCCCCTTCAACTGGCCTCTGGAGACTCAGCGCCTGGTGTGTGATGAGCACAGAGCTCTGCTGCCGCCCTGGTTCGGAAGACACCCAAGAACACCCGAGGCGGTCCCGGGCTCAGTTCTACCGCGGAAGCCCCTCCTCTGCTCGCTCCCAGCTCTCCCTTCGCTGGAGGCCCTGCAGGGCTGGGAGCAGGGGATGGGTGTGAGGGACATCCCGGTCCCCCTGGTGTCTCTCTGCCCCACAGGTCCTGGTGTCTGGGCCGGTGTCGGTTTCCCGCTCTCCACGCCCTGGGTGGTGGGTAGGGTGGACAGTTCCCAGCTGAAGTCAGGAAATGTGGCATCTCCCTCCAGGCTCGGGCTCCGAGGCCTACAAGGAGCCAGCCATCCTCGTAGGGCCTGAGAACCTCACCCTGACTGTGCACCAGACCGCAGTGCTCGAGTGTGTCGCCACGGGCAACCCGCGCCCCATTGTGTCCTGGAGCCGCCTGGGTGAGCCCCATCCCCACAGCCCCTGCCCCTCCTACCCCGCCCCAGGAGGGCTCTGGTCACCCAGCTCTGGGGGAACGTTGAATCCTGTTTGTTCTCTGCAGTTGTTTTCTTCCTGTGGCCTGGGGAGGGATCTTCCCCCATGTCGGCGATGGCTTAGCTCCCTGGGTTACCTTGTCCACCCCCATCCTCAGCACTGGGTCCCCCAGCACCCCAGCCTCTTTCCCTTCCCGCTCAGCCCTGCCCTCTACACCCCGGCCATGCTCCCCAGCTGTGCTGTCCCAAGCCCCTCCAAATCTCAGCCAGTCCTCAAACCCTCGCTCTGGGCCCCCCAGTCTCTAGCCTGGCCCCTAAGTCCCCAGCCTAAATCCCTGGGCAGCTGAAGGAGGGAAATGAAAGGGGGCAGATGGGCCCACATTGTCTGAGCGGAAAGGTCACGCAGGGGAAGGAAACTCCGGAGGGGGTGGGGTGGGGCCGCATTCACAGGAGACTGTGCCACATTGTAGCAGCTGAGTGATGGGGAAGGAGGGGGCAGCAGGCGGGATAATGGAGTAGATTTCACCACTTCAGGGGCTGAATGCGGAGCTGTCTCCTTGTATTCTGACTGTGCTAATCTGATCCTGGTTGGGGGGGCCTGGGAGAGGCAGGGAAGAGTGGCCTCACCGTTAGGAGGAGCCTCTGGGCACTGCGAGGACCATCTGGTCCAACATTTCCCAGAGCGTGATCTGTCAGGCGGGAAGAACGGCCTGGTGGTCTGACAAGTTTGGAAAATAAAGTTAACCAGGTCCCCTTACTGCAGGCCTTCTCAGAGCCCTTACAGCTTTGGGCTTCGGGACTGACCCCCAGGAGCGGGGTGCATACTTGACCATGTCTTGAGAGAGGCAGCCCAGGCTGGGAAATGTTGATCTGATCCAAACCCCTTACCTTATGGATTGTGAAACGGAGGGGAAGGGACTTTAAGGTCGCCAGTGAGTGGGTGATGGTGCTAGGACCAGGCCCCAGGGCCCTGCTGCCAGGCGAGTGTTCTGTGCAGCTCTCTGCCGCCTCTGCCCTGCTGAGCTGCGTGGGAGGGAAGGTGCCCGTCACAGACGGGGGTTCCCTGGAAGCCCGGCAGGAGGGCGAGCCGGGTGGGGGCTTGTGGGTCCCTTTCCGCGCCTCTCTCTCTCTGACCTCGCTCGTCTGCCCCTCCCTCCCCAGACGGCCGCCCCATCGGGGTGGAGGGCATCCAGGTGCTGGGCACGGGCAACCTCATCATCTCAGACGTGAGCGTCCAGCACGCGGGCGTCTACGTCTGTGCGGCCAACAGGCCCGGCACGCGCGTCAGGAGAACGGCGCAGGGCCGGCTGGTGGTGCAAGGTACGGACCAGCCAAGCCCGGGAGGGGAGGGAGGGGACTTGCACGGCCCTTCCTCCTGCCCGCTCCTCGCCTCCTCAGCGCCCCTGGCCCGAGCCCGAGCCCAGTTCCCTGCGCCTTGCCCCTCACCTGGCCCCCAGGCCAGGCCAAGGGTCACAGCTCTCCGCCCTAGGAAGGCGCCACCCCAGAGTCATTTCCACTCTCTCATCTCAGCCGGTCCTACCCACCTGTGTCGCTCACACGTGTCCCCCCACATGCTCTTGTCGTTGACACATGTGGCACATCCGTGCTCACACCTGCCTGCCTGTGGGCTCCCCGTGTGCTTGTCACTTCACGCTCTCGCCGAGGCCCCCGCCGAACACGCAGAGCCGCCTCCACGCCCATGGCGAGGCCGACCTGGTCATTCTGTCCAGCCTCCAGCCCGGGGCTCAGCTGTCCCTATGAACTGGGCTCGGATGAACATTTTCGGGGTTTCTCTGTGGTTGCTCCCTCCCCAAGGGCAGGGAAGGGCCGGGAAGTGGGAGAATCTGGAACTTAACTGCGCGTCTGTTTAGCATTCCACGTGCTGCTAGTCCGTCCAGATGAAAGTGATGGAGCATTTCATTTCTCGGGTGTTAATGGAGGCCGGAGGCCTGGGATTGGAGGAGAGTGGAATGGAAAGTGGGGGTGAGGGGGGCCGGGACTGAGGGCTCATCCATCTCCCCGTCATTACCACCTTCTGGAGGTGCAGCCAAACCTATTAGCACATTTATTTATTTAACAATTTCCTGAATCAGGAGCTCAGCTTGATTGCTCTCGGATACAAATGTCAGTCTTTTAAATCGTCATTAAAATGGAGTCCTCTCTTGGGTCTGCCTGGAGCAGAGGGAGGAGGGAGCTGGGCTGGGCCCCACCTGGAAGAGGGTGTGTGTTCAGAGCCCACTGGTGCCCTGGGGACCTGGGGACCTCCAGCGCCGTCCCCGCTGCCCCTTCCTCCTGCCTTCGCTTCACAGCCATCTCTCTCCCTCTCTGCCTGACCCCCCGCTCCACGTGCTTCTCTGTGCCCACCCACAGCCCCAGCCGAGTTTGTCCAGCACCCACAGTCCATCTCCAGGCCGGCCGGGACCACAGCCATGTTCACCTGCCAGGCCCAGGGCGAGCCGCCCCCTCACGTCACCTGGCTGAAGAATGGCCAGGTGCTGGGGCCAGGAGGCCACATCAGGCTCAAGAATAACAACAGGTCCGTGTGTGGCATGTGCTGGGTGAGGGCTGGGGAAGTGGGGGACAGGGAGGCCCGGAGCGGGTGGCTGAGCAGAACGGGCACCTCCTGCCAGGGGCAAGCCTGGAGACGTGGGTTAGAGCCCTGGGCCTGCCACCAGCTGGGTGGGAGAACTCGGACAAGCCGTTTGTCTTCCGGAAGGGTTCAGTTTCTCCGTCTCCCGAGTGGGAGGTTCGGCCCACCTCCGAGGACACTGAGAGGCAGAGGGGACCTAAGGCTCTCCCTCCCCCGCAGCACGCTGACCATTTCCGGAATTGGCCCCGAAGACGAGGCCATCTACCAGTGCGTGGCTGAGAACAGCGCAGGGTCCTCGCAGGCCAGTGCCAGGCTCACCGTGCTGTGGGCCGAGGGGCTGCCCGGGCCTCCCCGCAACGTGCGGGCTGTCTCGGTGTCGTCCACCGAGGTCCGTGTGTCCTGGAGCGAGCCCCTGGTCAACACCAAGGAGATCATCGGCTACGTCCTGCACATCAGGAAGGCTGCCGGTGGGTGGGGCTGGGAGGGCGAGAGGCAGAGCCACCCCTGGCCCTACTTCTCATCCCTTTCAGTCCTGCACGTCCTGACCCAACACCTTCCTTCCCTTCTCCCCATGCACCCTGGCTGCCCTCGTTTCCCCAGTGCGGTGGGGCTCCCTCGTGTCCCTTACTCTCCTCTGTCCCACCTTTGCCTCCCAGACCCACCGGAGCTGGAGTATCAGGAAGCGGTCAGCAAGAGCACTTTTCAGCACCTGGTGAGCGACCTGGAGCCCTCCACGGCCTACAGCTTCTACATCAAGGCCTACACGCCCAGGGGGGCCAGCTCGGCCTCCATCCCCACCCTGGCCAGCACCCTGGGGGAAGGTGAGGCCTGGGTGTGGAGTACAAAACCACAGACACTCAGGGCGTCGGAGCAGAACCACTGTGCACAGTTGTTCAGGCTGTGCACTGCACAGGGTGCCTGACCCTCCTAGGGCTGAGTTGGGGTGGGACCTACTCAAAGGAAAGGGATCTAATTCGTGGAACGGTGCCGTTTGAGCAGGTGCACACCCTGGGTCAGGGGCCAGGGAGCTGCCAGGCTCCTGGGGGTCTGGGTCACAGGTGGAAGGTGGACAGGCAGAGCGCAGACTGAGCCCTCACGTCCCGGCCTCCTCCCCGCAGCCCCCGCCCCTCCCCCGTTGTCCGTGCGGGTCTTGGGCAGCTCCTCCCTGCAGCTGCTGTGGGAGCCCTGGCCCCGGCTGGCCCAGCGCGAGGGCGGCTTCAAGCTGTTTTACCGCCCAGCGAGCAAGGCCTCCTTCACTGGCCCCATCCTGCTGCCTGGAACTGTCTCCTCCTACAACCTCAGCCAGCTCGGTGAGGCGGACGCGGGCCTGGGCCTGGGCCTGGGCGGCTGGGCGGGGTGTGGGCTGCGGGATCACCTCCCATTCCCTGCGGGGACACAGCTGTGTGGTAGGCGCAGGGCAGTCACTCAGCCCTGCCTTCCCCAGACCCCACCTCGGTGTATGAGGTGAAGCTGCTCGCCTATAACCAGCACGGAGACGGCAACGCCACCGTCCGCTTCGTGTCCTTGAGGGGAGCATCTGAGAGGACAGGTGAGGGCTGGGAACAGAGTGGGGGGCTGGGGGGATGGGAAGGAGGAAAGGTGGGATAGTGCGTGTGCAGCCCTTGAGAAATAGACCTCAGTTTGAAATTTAGCTGTGCAACTTTCTAGCTGTGTGACCTTGGGCAAGTTACTTGACCTCTCTGAGCTAGTGTTTTCTCCTGTATAAAGCAAGTATAATAATCCCTGCTTTATAAAGCTGTGGCAAGGATGAAGTGGTCCATGTACAGTGTTATTCCCAGTACCTGGCACAAAGTTAGTGCTCAGTAACTGCTAAGAAGAACTGAAAAGGCTGGGCTGGGGTCCCACAGGCAAAGTCAAAGGGTGCTGCCACTCCCACTTGAGGGTGGGAGCAGCTGAGGGAGGGGTCCCCGAGGCTGGGGTCTGGGGGTGCTTCAGGCCTGGAGAGCTGCAGGCCCCACCCTGCCCCTGCCCTCCAGCCCTGAGCCCGCCGTGCGACTGCCAGAAGGAGGAAGTAGCCAACCAGACGTCCACCACGGGCATTGTCATTGGCATCCACATTGGGGTCACCTGCATCATCTTCTGCGTCCTCTTCCTTCTGTTTGGCCAAAGGGGCAGGTGGGTGCTGGGCTGGGGAGGGGCCTGGGCTGGGGAGGGGCCTGGGCTGGGGAGGGGTGAGGACGGGCCTGGAGAAGGGGGCGGCAGGGGAAAGGTCGGGGGCTCACCGCCTGTGTCTTTTGTTTCTCTCCTTTTGTTCTCGCTCCCTCCCTTTCTCGCTCCCTCCCACGTCCCTCCCCCAACTCCTGGCTCACCCTTAGGGTCCTCTTGTGTAAGGACGTGGAAAACCAGCTCTCCCCTCCTCAGGGTCCCCGGAGCCAGCGGGACCCTGGCATCCTGGCCCTGAACGGGGCAGGACGGGGCGAGCGGGGCCAGCTGGGCCGCGACGGGAAACTTGTGGACGTGAAGGAGCTAGAGCAGCTGTTCCCCCCAGCTGGGGCGGGGGTGCAGCCGGGCCCCAGACCTGCGGTGAGTGCCCTGGGGTGAGTGCCACGCCGTGCGCAAGCCTGCCCCTCTGGGGCCTGCCCACCTCCCCGTCCCACTGTCGCTTCAGCTGGGCCACGGGCCTCGGCCGGCAGCCTCAGCCCGGCCCCGGGTCTTCCCTGGGCTCAAAACCATGGCCGGAGCTTCTCTCTGTGCCCCCAGACCAGGCAACAAGGCCTGGAGGCCCTGAGCCCCGAGCGGGTGGGATGCCAGCCTGACCCTGGGGCCCTCGAGCTGACGCCGCGTGACCGGCCCTTTCCCCGGCAGGACCCCGCCGCGGCCCCCGGCCCGTGCGAGGAGACCCAGCTCTCCTCGCTGCCGCTCCGGGGCTTCAGCCTTCTGGATGGGAGGACGGCCAAGGCCCTGGCCCCCGGCGCGGGCCCCGCGGCTGCCCCGACGGCCCAGGACGGAGGCCCCGGCCTCCTCGGTGAAGGACCCGCCGCCCGGCCGGCACGCGCGGCGCAGTAGCCACGTCTGCGGGCTCTGGAGGGGGAGCCCCCGTTCTCAGGTCAAAGGCAAGAGTTCTCCTGTCACGTGGGTCCGGCTGGTCCTGGGGGCTCCCCGGCATTCCTGCCCTGACCGCAGCTCAGGTGTCGAGGCCGGAGGAGGCAGCCTCGGCAGGGACCCGGCCCAGGAGCCCACGCCCCTGGCCCTGGGCTAGTCCCCGTCACCTCTGCCTGGTACCCACGTGACTTGGAACCGAACTAACCTTTTCCTTTAAAAAGCAAAACTTAAAAAAGACAAAAAAAAAAACAAGGGAGAGAGAAAGGAAGGTGAATTAGACTCCAAAAATACGCCCCCGCTGTGGCGGGCCTGACGCCGTCACCCTCCACCGACCGAGTTTTCTCAGGATGGATTTTTGCTGTGAGGCTCGCAGCACCTACCTCAGCCGGAATGAATGTCCTTGGGGAGTGGGCGCTGCCCCCGCCCCACAGAGCCCGAATGCACTCCTACCTCAAGCCTCCTACGGCACCCCTCCCTCCCCACGTTGTCCAGAGTTTAAAAAAAAAAAAGGAAAAAAAAAAAGCACTTCCCATTTCCAGGTGTGAAAGAAAACGTCTACCTCAAGGCTTGCTGGCTCTGCGGCCTGCTGTCACTGGACCTCCCTCCCTGGCCTCTGCTTTCCCCCGGCCCCACCCGCCTCTCCCCTGGAGAGGAGACCCCAGGAGGCCGAGCCACCAAGGGGGCCCTGCAGAAATGAAAATGGGATTGGTCAGAGAGAAAATGTGAAAAAAGCCAAAAATGCGAGGACGTTTGTTCCTTGAAGTACAAACTGTTATCCAAACAAGCCACCTCCCAGCACGCGGCCTGTGCTCCCTGGATTCCCATCTGTCCCCTCCCCTGTCAGCCCCCTCGGGGATGCTGCACCCTCTCTGCCCGGGCCCTGGGAGGGGCATCGCCCCGCCGGCCTCCTGTCCCGCCAGGCACGGCCCTAGGAATGTACCGCGTGTGACGGGGGTGGGGGTGCGGGTGTCCCTGGCAGGGGCGCCCCAGCCCTGTCTCAGGGGACACAGCCAGCCTGACTCACCCCGACAGTGGACCGGACACTGTCAGCAGATGCCGCCGGAAGCTATTTTTATACAAGGTGTGTTTAAGAGTTATGTTCTCTTATGTGACTTGTTTCTCTTTTCTGGTGTGGTGTTCTTTGAACTACTTAAAGAAGGAAAAATCAAAAAAAAAAAAAAAAAACCAAGGAAACAAATACCTATTTTTGGTTACACTCAGAAACATTTTTTTAAATAGCAGAAAACTTTTTTTTAAGAAAAAAAAAAAAACAAGTGTATTCCTTAAGAATGAGATTAGACCATAAAATCCCTGACCCCCAACCCTCTAGGGACAGCCCACCCTGAACTTTAGTTAATTAGCTGAAGAAGGTAGCATTCGTGTTTTCCTAGAAGACTAGAGTCGTGTCCACACGAACTCCGGGAGGGGCTGTCCCCCTCCGCCCAGATGGCTGGCGACGCCAAGGGCTCCACCAAGCGCGGGGACAGCGCCCTCTGACCCCGAAGCAACTCCTCTCTGGAGCCCCCCTCCCTTGGGAAGAGGGGGGCTGGGGCAGGAGGGGACTAGGGGGCCACCTGGCCCGACCTGGGTTTTGTCACACTCTACTCATTTTGACTGAATAAAAGTCCTGTTGCCAAAGTGAACCCTAAGTTTCTTGGTGACTGTGTCAGGTCCTGGGGTTCGAGGGCAGGAGTGCCGGCCAGGCTCCAGGGGTCAGGGCCTGGGGTCACGTGCTAGGTCTTCTCCACAGAGGGGCAGTTCCCAGGGCCTCAGGCCTCCCTGTGAGGCAGGTATGCTAGTGCCATCATCTCCATTTCACAGTCCGTGAAACCGAGAAAGAAGAGAAGTGAAGGAAACATCCAGAATCTCCCACCTCCCGGCAGTCTGGTCCTCACACAGCAGAGTTGGCCTGGCAGGCCAGACTGCCCGGTTCCAGGGTCTGCCCTCTGACCTTTGCCCCGCACCTCCCCAGCCAGCGGTGGCAAAACAGACCCCGCCCTGGGCCCGCTAGTGACGGTCCAGCAGTACCGAGCCCTCGCCCGGTTGCTGGCCAGGCAGGGCTACGTGCATTTCACACTCTCTGAGGAGGGACTATTTTCCTGCTCATTCTAAAGTTGAGGAAACTGAGGCTCCGACCAAGTGACTCTTCCAAGAGGTCCCTCAGCCAACCAGGCCTCTGTGTTCCTCCACCATCTCTCAGTCCGGATTCCTAAAGCCAGGCTTGGCTTAATGGCAGTTATGCCAACAGAGATCTAGGGGTCTCAGTGGGCCTCAAGCTTCATAAGGGGCAATAATAATATGGCGTAAGGCAGCTGCTGCCGAGTTAGAAAGCCGGGCCCACGCTGGGAGGCCCCACGGGTCTGGAGGGCCAGGTCCTGGGATGGTGATTTGTAAATTGGGTCCCCCCAGCTATGGCTGGGGGGTATGGGGAACTCTCTAGGGGACCTCACTCTCCCTGCCACCCTCACCTGGAGCAACTCCACATTTATCTCATTAAATGTTGGTCTCCGTGAAATTTCATTTGAAAACAGAGCTCTGCTCCTAAAAGAACATTTGGAAGCCCCTGGCCAGGCAGTTTCTGGAAGAGGCGCGTGGGGTGGTTGGGGGCGGGTCAGGTAAGGATCAGCAATGCAGAACCAAGCAAGAGAAGCCTGGGCGCACACGGTCCTTGTCCTGAGTCTCTGGGGAGGCTCCTGACTTGCCCTGATCATCCCAGAGGAGAGACCCAAGCTTGAAGGTAAACGTAAGGCTCCATGTCTCTTTACACGGGACTCCACACAGGAAGTTTTCACCAATTCCAGCCATCCAAGGGCTGCTGGGAAGGCAGTGGTTCCAGCAGCCCCTGCAGGGGTCAGGGAGTAGACCCGTAGCCTCCAGTGCCCCCCTCCTCCAAGAGTCCAAGATGTCCTGCCTCCCCCAGGGAGGTGTCTGGAAAGGTTTAGAAACCACCTAAATAGTAGGTCTGTGCAAATCACATGCAAATATCGACAGGGCCTGTCCTCACCATCAAGAGACTCTGAGCTGGGCTGAGGTAGATAACAATTAGGAAAGTTAGCAGGAATAGGGGTCAAAACTGAGTGGCCTGGCTGGAGTATGGGTCCTGAGAGCTCAGCCCAGAGGCCTCAGGCTGAAGAACCTCCTCGTGTTTCCCCCGCACGAACCGTCTGTGGGCAGAAAGCAGCAGCAGCAGCAGCGAGCGCCGCAACCTATCCCAGTGCTCTAACGCTCTGCAACAAACACCCCAAACCTTGGTGGCTGAACAGGACACTGATTTTGCTCACAAACCTGCAGTGTGGGCAGGGCTCAGTGGGGACAGCTGTCTCTGCCCCGCTGCAGCGTGAAGCCTGGGGCTGGAGTCACCTGAAGGCTGCCTCACACCATGGCTGGTGGCTGATGCTGGCACGTGGCCTCTCCACATGGCCTCTCCACGTGGCCTGGGCTTCCTCACAGCATGGGGGGCTGGGTTCCAAGGACAAGTGTCCTGAGAGAGCGAGCCAGGTGGAAACCACATCATTGTTTCTGACCTAGCCTTGGTGACGCAGCATCACTTCTGCTATATTTTATTCGTTAGAAGCAAGTCACGAAGGCCAGCCATATTCAAGGAATTCTAGGGGAACTCGATTCCACCTTTTTTTTTTTTTGAGACAGAGTCTCACTTTGTTACCCAGGCTAGAGCCGGTGCCTGTGGCTCAGCCTAGCCACACAACCTCAGACTCCCTGGGCTCAAGCAATCCTCCTGCCTCAGCCTCCCGAGTAGCTGGGACTACAGGCATGCGCCACCACGCCTGGCTAAGTTTTATTCTATATATTTTTAGTTGGCCAATTAATTTCTTTCTATTTTTAGTAGAGACGGGGTCTCGCTCTTGCTCAGGCTGGTTTTGAACTCCTGACCTTGAGCAATCCGCCCGCCTCGGCCTCCCAGAGTTCTAGGATTACAGGTGTGAGCCACGCGCTCGGCCTGGATTCCACCTTTGGATGGGAGGAGAGTTAAAGCACGTGTGGTCACGTTTTAAAACAACCACGGGATCACTCGGGAGGGACAGCTGGGGAACGAGTGTGAGCTGGGGGCAGGAGAGCTCACCCCGTGGCCCTGGGGGTGCCGGTGGGCTGCAGGAGACAGGGTGCTCCCAACTCCTGCACCAGGCCGGGTTTCAGTTTATTGGGGTCCAGTGTGAAGGCCACAAGGAGAGGGGACCAGGCCCCTGTGAACACCCGGAAAGGGGCTTCTCCGCTGCCTGCTCCTTCTCCGTGCCTGTGAGGGCCGAGGGCCAAGGGTAGCTGGTGCGAGCCTGAGACCCCCCAGTCTGGATGGCAGACCCGACTGACAGAACTGGAGGGGACCGCAGACCCCTCCTGAGACACATGAAGCAACAGAGGACCCAGGAGGGGCACGAGTGTCTGCAGGTCACAGGGAAGTGAGAGGCAGAGCCAGGGCTGGAGCCCAGGACAGACCCAGCCTGCCTGGGGCCCCGTGCACTCAGCCAGCCGTGCCACGCTCAGACCCTCAATACCGGCCGGGTCCAGAGCCCAGGGTGAAGGGAGGGCCTGGGGGCCTGGTGTCAATATGGCCCGGGAGCCCCTGCAGAGTGGCGGCTGGGTGGGCGTAGGGGAGCCAGCGGCTCCGGACGGGGTGGGAAAGAGGAACAGTCAGTGGGCATGAGTGCCAGGGGGGTGCGCTACCTTGAACTCTGGATTCAAGCTAGAGCCAGGGCAGGGGACACCTAGGCCCGCTTCCTCAAGAGGCATTGTGGGACAACCTAGATCTTATCAGAAGCTTTGAACAAAGAGAAATAAAAAAAAGAAATTAAAGAAAATTTATATAATTTTTAAAAAAAGAGGCATGGCGGGGGCAGACTGGGGCGTCTGTTGCTCTGGAGCAGGCGGGAGTGGGGAGAAGAGCAGGCCGAAAGCAGGGCCAAGGAGGAGCCGGCTGGCGGGGAAGGAAGGGCCTTGCTCCCTTCTGGGCTCCAGAGGGACACATGCTGGACCCCGAGGCCCCAAAAGCACGGATGGCCTGTTGGTCATGGTGCACCACGTGCCACTGCCACAAGGCAGAGTCCGCCCTAGCCATCACTCCAAAATGCCCACATCCCGGCCGGCCGGACTCTGCTCCCCGCAGTCTCTTCCCATCTCTGGGCCTCTTGCTCCAGACCGCACTCACTCGGCAACTGTTGCTGAAAGAATGCTTGCAAGAACAGGACGTCTCGCTGGAGGACTGGGGACACTGTCACAAAGCTACAGAGAAAGGACTCTTTGCTCTGTCCCTGGCTGGTATGATACAGTCTTGGGTTAAGCAACAGGGGAGTTTTGTACCAAGAAGCTGGGGGGTCATCTCTCCCGTGGCCACCAGGTCCCCAGTCACTGGGGCTGAGGCTGCGGAGGGGAGAACCAGGGCCTCAGGCGGAGCAGAGAACAGTGAGGACTCCCCAGTCCTGCCTAGCTCAGGTGTCACCTGATATGGGGGGGTCTTCTCTAGGTCCAGCTGGTGGCTCAGTTGGCCAGATGCCTTCAGCCCTTTGTCACTGCTGCTAGTGAGAAGCGTGGCATCCCCTGGAGCTGAGGAGGCTGCCGCCTTGGCCCAGGGTGTGAACAGTGGATCCAACTGATGTGAGTTTGTGACTTGAACCCCGGGCTGCCAGTTCCTAGTCATGTAACCATGAACAGGCCCTGGAACTTCTGTAGGCCTCAGTTTCCTCATCTGTAACATAGGGGTAATATTCCCCTACCTCAAAGGGTTGCTGACGCAGCTGGCTTCTTTGCAGAAATCGACAAGCTGATTCTAAAATTCATATGGAAATGCAAGGGACAGGGACGCCAATAGCCAAAGCAGTCCTGAGAGTAAAGAACAAAGAACAAAGATTCACACTTCCTGACTGTCAGACTTACTACAAAGCTACAATAATTAAAACAGTGTGGAACTGGCATATGGATGGACTCATATATCAATAAAATAGCATTAAGAGTCCAGAAATAAACTATCACATTCATGGTCAATTGATTTTTGACAAGGCTGCCAAGACGATTCAATAGAGAAGGAATAGTCTTTTCAACAAATGGTGCTGGGACGACTGGATATTCACATGCAAAGAAATGAATTTGGACCCCTTACTCATACATGGAAAAATCAACTCAAAATGAATCGAATTCCTTCATGTAAAACCTAAAACACAGACAAAACAAAGAAG